CTTCTGTTCCTCTAAGCTGCTGGAATAGTTTATCTTCATTTTTGAGAAGCATTCTTCCAGTTTCCTCTCCAAGGCCATGTAGAGCCTTTGGGCTTCTGGGTCCTTGGGCAGCATCCTCTCTGCTTGTCTCTGCCCAGGAGAGGGACATTTCCATAGCTTCTCCATCTTCTGCTCCAGATAAGCCAGGATAGCTGAATTAAACCCACACAGTGCAGTGGATGGGTCCAGCATGCTTCCGCTGACAGGGCTCTGAGATATTTGTGTATGTGTCTCCTCAGTGTACAGGCTTTCCTTCTTCCTCCTCTGCTTTCCTTTCCTAGAGACCCCTTGGCATGGGAGCTCTGTGGGGGATGGGAGCCTTTCAGTGTCTTCTTCACTGTCAGCCTTGAGCTCATGCCACTCACCAGTGACATCTTCAACAACTTCCTGGGTTCCACCCAGGAGGTTCACATCCCGTTTGTCAGCAGCCTCTGTTTGCTCACTGTCCAGAGGTTGTTCATGCCATCTTTCAGCCAGGGCTCCTGAAGTCCCTTCTTGTTTTTCCACTGGGATGACTGCATCCCATTTGACAACAGTGTCTTGAGTTCTCTCTACTGGGGCTTTCTGTGCCTTCTGTTTGTCACTGGTGTCTTCACCTCTCTCTGTCGAGACTTTCAGTGCTGGCTTTTTATCTAGAAGCTTTATATCCTGTTTGTCACTGATGCCTTCACCTCTCTCTGTCGAGGCTTTCAGTGCTGGCTTTTTATCTAGAAGCTTTGCATCCTGTTTGTCACTGGTGCCTTCACCTCTCTCTATTGAGGCTTTCAGTGCTGGCTTTTTATCTAGAAGCTTTGTATCCTGTTTATCACTGGTGTCTTCTGTTTTCTCTACCAATGGTCTCTGAAGCTGCTTTTTATCTGGTACCTTTGCCTCCCTTTTCCCACTGGGGGATTTAGCAAGGTCTGCCTGGGATTTTTCAGCTGACAGATTCGCATCCTTTTCCCTACTCAGATGTTTATCATCTTCCTGGGATTTCCTTTCATAAGAAGCCCTGACCCCAAATTTCATGTCTCTTAAAGACGGTTCTGTCTTTACTACTGCTTTTTCCTTCACCTTGTGCAGTTCTTTTTGCATTGCCTCATTTGCTAAGAAAAGCATCTTGTATTTGTGTTCAGTGCTTTGGACTCGAGCCTCCAAAGATGCCTTTTTCTCATTAAGCACCTGTACTTCCTTTTGAAGGTTCACATACTGAACTTCCTGCTTCTTGGACTCCTGGGATACTAAGGTATCATACTTTGCTTGCAGGCCATGGGACTGTTTGGTTAGCAAAGTGAAGGCTTTGGTGAGATTGGCCACCATTGTCACTATATATTTAACAACAACAACTTCTGCTTTGTTGAACAGTGTTGACCCTACAAATTCCTGTAACATGGTAAGGAGCTCAGAAGTCCTGGAGAAAGTTATAGATTCATCTTCTAGCATTTGTTCAGGGCTCAAGGGCTGGGCTTCCTGAGGTTTCTGTGCAACTTTTTCTCGCCATGCTCTCCACATGCCGGTTTTGGGAACAACTGGGAAAGTTAGACACACAAAGAGAAAGAATTAGGGTCTATAATGAAATGAAGGATGGTCCTATGGTTAAGGCTCTGGGACAAAACTCAGAAGATCTGGGTCCAATGTATGGCTCTGCCACAAACTCTCTGTGCGACATTAGGCTAGATTCTTCACTGCTCAGTCCCCCATATTTAAAATGGGGATAATAATCCTTTCTGTATCTAGCTTGTCTACTTAGTTTGCCTCTGACTGGGAAAACACTTCAGGGTGCTCTCAATAAAGCATATTGAAATGCCTCATGCTTGAAGGTCACTTTTGAAAATCTGGCTGCATATGCATCAGATCTTTGTTCCTCCAAATTAATCAGAAATATTATTTTCCCCCCTTTTCTTATTCCAAGATGTTTGAAACACATACTTGATTTCCCCCTCTTTTTCCGTCTGTGTTCCACAAGAGGTGTGCAGAGCTCGATTAGCTGCATTATACATCCTTCTGTATAATCAAGGGAAGTCAGCAGCTTGGTCTCCATATCACTGACCCACTGGACAGTGGGGGTGTCTCCTACTTGTTCTTTGCCTTCTGACAACATTTCACCTTGAAAAAAGCCAAAGCAAAAAGGGGAATGAAGCTCACGTTAATTACCTTCCAGCAGAAAATCAAACCCTTATTAAATGACACACAAGATCTGGGCCTGATGGTTAGCAATTTATATGTGACATGTCGACAGCCAGGGTGTTCAGTAAGGGCCTCTGAGAGGGCTAAGGAGGTGGGCAAGCGGGTGTCTCCCCTTGTTGGTGAGAAGGAGGTGGGGATCATGTTTGGGGACAGTGTGTGTGACAGGTATTAAAAACTAATATAACTCATCTTAGATCCTTCAGTGGAGACCATGAGGGCAAATCACCTGATTCCTGGTATTCTAAAGGTTAAATTCAAGATGGTCCTGTAAATCAGACTCCCCCACTATATAGCTGCAGGGTTTGAGCAGAGATGGGTGTGACAATTGGGGTCCAGACATCCCATGGGGAGAACAAGAAGTTTAAACCCCCAGTTAAAACAACTGATTGCATACTGTCATTGTGCTATAAAAATATACCAAGTAAGGTTTTGATAAAACTTGTAATGTTCTGAACTTGATGGTCATTATGAGATATGTATATAGACCATGATTATTAATATACGTATGTGTTTACACAGAAAATTGTAAATTGTAACTGTGGGGCAACTTTAGCATGGCCTCAAAACAGGGCGATGAAGCAATCAGGCAGGGATAGGCTACCTCCCAAGCCAGTTGCTTATATTATACCAGCTTCAAGTACCTATCCATTGTCCAGCCCAGGAAAGGATAATGGTAGACCATTAAAGTTAATGGAAAGACATTGAGACAACTGGGAATTTCCCTAGTCTGAATAACCAGGAATCACCATAGTCTGAGAGGGGGAAAAAAAGGATCAATATATATATATTTTTGAAAGGAGCCTTGAAGCTGAAGTTTTCATCCAGAAACTGAGGGACCGCCTCTAAGTGAGAAGTTGTCTGTGAAACACTGGATCCTCCAACAGTTAGGAGACATGCTGGAAAACTGTTTAAAGGCAATAGGTAACTTGTATTAGAAAAAAGAATGTAACTAATATAGAAGACATCTGAAGCTGTGTCTTTATGTTTATTTACTGTGTAACTTGTATATGTTTGCTCTCTCTTACTATTTCATCTTTGAATCTGTGGTTTTTCTATTAAATAAACAATTTGTTTGTTTTTACCCAAGCAGTTCTCGGGTGTGCAAACTGTGAGGAGTGTGTGTGGCAAAGTGAGATGATAATTGGGAGTCTAGTTTCATGCCTTTGGGGGTCATGAACTAGAGGGGAAAAATTAGACTGTCTGGGGAAAGGAGGGATTTGGGGAAACACAGGCCTATACGAACTGTTGGTGTTACCCTGGAAGGATGAGGCCAGTGAAAGCCAGGGTAAGACCTTGTGCTTGTGAGCAAGCTACTGGTGTCTGGGATCTGAGCCATAGCAGCACAGCATTAAAGCACCCCAAGGTTATAACGGAAGGTGGTGACCGAACCCCTTACCAGCCTGGGTGATCACGCAAACATCACAATGGGATCAAACTATGAAGTTGGAATCCAGCTCAAAACTTTCCCAAAGTTCAGAGGCTTTTGGATCCAGGTTTTTGACTGACCCCATGATAGAGATATAGGGGCCAGGTGGAGAGCATGGTTCCAGACATCCCTAAAGTTTAGGGCTATGGCTCTAGAGCTGCCTGTACCCTGGAGCATCCCAGAGGCCATCTGGCTCCATTAACTTACCCCATTCTTTTAACGATTCCAGAACGAACTTTAAATCTTTCCCTTGAGCTGTGCTGGCTTTGAGCAAGATGGCTACTTTGTCCAGTAGAAGTGCCCTCCGTTTCCTCTCAGCCCAAGTGCCGGAGAGGAAGAACTGTTCTTCTATCTCTGGGTCCATCCCTTCGTCCCCTTTGAAGCGGTCACATACCCGGTTCACATTGTCCAGAATTACAAACAGTTGCTTAAAAACCTCCTAAAGTGACAGGATGGGGCCTTAATAATACTGTTTCTAGAACACCCTGCATGCAAGGAGCTCAAGCCCAGGTAAGTAAATCCACTGGACTGGGACTCAGGAGAGCTAGGTTTCATTCTGCCACAGACTCCTTGTGTGACCTTGGGCAAGTCACTTAAATTTCTATGTGAGATAATACTTCCTTTCTCCCACCTTTTGTTTGACTTCTCTATTCAGACTGTAAACTCTTTGAGGCAGGAGCTGCCTCTCATTATGTGCTGCCTAGTACAATGAGGCTCTGATCTCAGTTAGGAGATCTGGGTGCTACAGTAACATATAACAGGGGATGAGCTAGGAATAGAACCTAGCTAGGGTGGGTCTCAGCACTGCAAATGGGAGTGCTTAACACTTCTCAGGATCATGTCCCTTTATTTCAAAATGACAAATATCAGGAAGCAAATATTCTGCTCCTCAAATTGCTGATAAAACCAACTGGCAGTGGACATGAGCTGTTCACTAAAAATGGAAAGCAACTCAAGACCCCTAATGGTAATGGGAATAAAATCTGAGACCTTCACCTATCTCTGATGCCTCTCCTACCAAGGGCTAGTCTCCCTTGCATCCTACTCACAGGAGGCATTCAGCAGCCCCAAAGATTAGGTGCTCGGTGTCAACGTGTACCTTCCTGGCTCTGTCGAGCTGGGCAGCATCAATTTTCTCCAGTATGTTCTTCACTGAGGGGGGGATTTCAGTGAGAGGACTGATAGTGAGTTCCAATTTAGAGGCTGCAGCTTCAGGCTCAGGTTCTGAGTTTGTTTCAGATTCATATGAGCTTCCTGATGATGATGATGAAGATGATGATTCCTGCACTACCATGTTTAGGACCTGGTAGTTTTCCTGCACTAAGAATAAACTTCTGACAATTCCAAACTGAATCACAGGGTAAACCTGTTTAGTTTCCTCGTTCTAGAGGTGTAGTTGGAGGTCCAGTTACTCTGGCTGTTAGCTCAAGAGCAGAGGGGCAAATGGACATGTCACCAAGAGATGAGAATATTCTATTTGTCTGGGTGATGTCATAATAACCTTTCCTCTGGTTCTATCCTGATATCATCAGGCACAGTGAATGGAATGTACATAGATAAGACACCTACCAAACAGGATTTACTAATGAAATAACCCCTAGGGAAATTTCAACAGGAGCACTTAACAAGAAGGTTCTAGAACAGTTATATCCTAGAACAGTTATATCCCAGTCAGTACAGCTTTCTGGTAGAAGGTGACATTGCTGGCTGTACTATAAAAGTTCAGAGCCGCAGTTGTCCAATAATCTTTCTATCATTTATGTACTGCAAGCACAAGTAGTCCTCAGCGGGACACATGTGAGTGTTTGCAGGGACAAGACTCTAGTGGTGCTGGACATTTTAAAAATAGAATTGCTTGTCAAGAGTAATTTCAAATGAAGCCATTCCTGGAGGGGAGCTGCAGGGATTCCCTAACATAACTGGTGCTCAAGCTTTTAATGCTTTGTAAGGCTATTTAAGAAAAAGCTTTTCATGGACTCACTTCCCCTCCAACCCCCAATTTCTTACCTTTTGGCTATAAAATATTTCAGTCTGCAGACCACCAGGAAAGGTGATCACAGGTGGCCCGTGGACCATACTTTGATTATCAGTGCAATATTGTGGCTGGAAATCATTGTTCTTGGATCCGTCTTGTACTCTTTGGAGATTTTTCTTTATTTAGCAGAACTCACTGCCCTGCCAAGCTGGCAAATTGAAATGTTGTATGCAGTGTTGTTGTAGCTATGATGGTCCCAGGATATTAGGGAGACATGATGGGTGATGTAATATCTTTTATTGGACCAACTTTTCTTGATGAGAGAGACACGCTTTTGTGCTTACACAGAGCTCTTCACACCTGAAGAAGAGCTCTGCGTAAGCTTGAAAGCTTGTATCTCTCACTGTTGGTCCAGTAAGATATTACCTCACTCACCTTGTCTCTCTAAATTGAAATGTTGGCATTTGTTCCTTCTGACCCCCTTTCAGGACTCCACACAGTGAATTATTCCATTTCCTACTCCAAAGTTTCAGCTGTTTCTGCTCTTGATCTTACCCTACAAGTACAAAGAATTAAAGCTCTTTGCCTCTTATGGTGTGTGAGTGGGGAAAACAGATAATCCTTGGAATTACAGGCCTCTGATGGCCTCCTATGAGTTATGGGAAAAGAGCATTAGGAACCTACGAATTGCCAGACAAGATCAGGAGTCCACCTACTGCAGTATCCTGTCTCCGATAGTGGCCAATACCAGATACTCAAAGATAGGTGCAAGAGTCCTAAAATGGAGAGCTGGACAAAAATGTACACAATTTTGTTGAATTTTTCATTATGCGATTTTCAAAAATCAACAATTTTTTGTATATTAAAAGTTTTTCACAAATGTTTGTTTTACATCTTGGGGTTTTGGGTTTGTTTTCAGTTTTTCTTCCCCCGACATTCTTTCCCCTTTTTCTTTTCTCTCCTCTTCCCCCTTTCACCCCCCCTCTTTTTTTTTTTTTTTTTTTTCACTTTAAAAGGGAGGAAAAAATGGAGATAAAGTTTTGTGAAAAAAATTTTTAACTAAAAAACAACTAAATTTCTTTTCTTTAAATTTTTTTTTTTTTTTTTTTTTTTTTAAAGGAAACAAAGAAAAAAATGTTAAAGAAAATGTCAGGTTTTGAAAAAAGGCCATTTTTTTGGAATTACAAAATTTCAACTAGCACTGCTTATGCTAATAGTCACCCTCTTCTACTCAAAACCCCCAACCAATACCCCTCCACATCACAAAAAGAAGGCAAATTAATCAAATTCAATTAATAAACACTACCCCGAGCTTTGGAATTTTTACCCCATAAAGGGTGAAATGCCAGAGTCTTCACAAAGTGCACTGGGGATTTCAGTTTAGTACTGCTTTTATGTGGAAGGCACTCAGATACTAAAGTGATGGGTGGCAGTATAGAACTGTCCCCAAATACACAGGAGAGATAACTAAGTGTCTGTGTATGTAAGCATGTGTGTATGAGTGAGTGTTTATTATTACAAATTATTTGTATTGATGGATCAGAGATCCACATGATGCTAGGTAATATACAAGCATATACACAGGCATAGTTTGACTTCTATATATGGCGGGGGGCAGCTCCAGTCAGGCCAATAAGGCTGCATGTGGCGATGTGTGTAAATTCTGTGCCTGCCAGAGGCTTGGAGTTGGGGGGGCAATGCCTGCTCCTCAATTATGCCCATGAACATATTAAAAAAAAAAAGTAGGTCCCTGCCCCAAAGAGCTTAGCCTGAGAGGGTCTATTTCTTTCAGAATTGGAGATTCATGTTGGTCTTTTTCACAGGTTACCTGTTATTCTGGGTAGATTAATTTTCTCCTCCTGAGGGTGGGGGACAGCTCCTCTGTCTCTGATAAAAAGGGTGACAAAACATCTGTTGGGGCCTCTGAAATAGAGCCACATTTCAGCATCTTGTGGGTCACAGTGATGTTTGAGTACAACATGACCCAGCTTTCTTGACATCTCATTGCTCTGGTTGAGGCTCATCAAGATCTTGATGTGATGCAGTGTTGTAACTCTTGTGACTTGTCACAGGTATCACAATATTTGGTATTCTTCTTGAAGCCTCAGATCCTGGAGTGCTGAGATTACTGTGAGACTCTCGGCCTTTATCTCATAGTTGTGGAGAAAAGAGGGCAAACATGAACCCGAAGAGCCCCAAGTGTATTGTTTTGAACTCAGTCTTATGGTTCTGAAGGCCTGACTCATGGTTTTGAAGGCGTGAGGTTGGTGATACTTGAAATCCACTTCCATGGCCCCAGGCTCAGCATGCTGTGGGGCCATGATGGCGTCTCAATGGGGCATGATCCCACCTTGGGGCCCTTTCATTGCTCTGTGCAGCCTTGACGTGAGGTCACCCTGCTTGGATGCTACATGATGGCTCTGTACTGGGCACGTCCTGAGGTGGCACAATGGCCCCTTCAGGGGCACACAGAATGGTACATTCCCCCGCGCACCCCCACTGCACCGAGAATGGCACGTCCCACCCAACAGACAAACAAGGAGAAGACCACTCCAACTGATTCCCCCCCAGAGATTGGTACATGCCCTTTGAACAATCCCAATAGCGTAGAGAATGGTACACCCCCTCTGACACCTCATCCCATACCACGCAGAATGGTTCATTCCCCTAGATTGATGTGTCCCCCTCTCCCCCCGGCAATAGTACGTTCCCAAGAGGACCCTGGCTAGTTTCTTCCAACGGCCTTCGATGACCCCGGAAGGACTTCTAGGTGGTGACCCGGCAGAGGCGGTGGCGGCCGGGGAGAGGCGGAGGATCTGGAAGGGGCGGGGGCCCGGGCCCTGGCTGGCGGCAGCAGCCGGAGGCGGAGCCCGAGTGTCCTTATCGCTGGCGCTGCCGGAGCCTGCCTGGGAGCGGGGAGCCGTCCGAGCCGGGATCCCAGGCCCGCTGGCCTCGGGGGCAGGCGGGAGAAGGAGGATGCTGCTGTTCGTGGAGGTGAGGCGGGGGCCAGGATTGGGGGAGGCGGCGAGGCCGGCCGGCCGCGTTGTGGGGCCATGTGACTTTCCAGGCCGCACACGCTGCTGCCGCGGCGGAGCCAGCCGGCCGGGCCCGGGGGGGAGGGGCCGGGCCTGACACAGCAAATCCGGCCCGGGGGAAGGGGCTGTGGAGTCCCCTCGAGGCGGGTGAGTGGCGAGAGCCGGGGGGCCCAGGAGTCCGCGTGAGGGGACTTTGGGGGGTGACAGGAGCGGGGGGCTGAGGTGAGAGGGGCGGTTTGAGAGCGAAGGTGAACGAGGGGGGGGGGCTGGGGGTTAAGGAAACCTCGCCCCATCTCTTCGCCCCCGGGAGGGTCTGTCAGTGGCCGGGCTCTCGGGGCCATGCTGGAGAGAGGGAAAGCGGGTGGGGGGAGGGGCAGTGTTGAAAGGCACCGCATTGACCTTTTGTAAAAGTTGCTCTGGTGGCTGCCTGGTGCATGGCGCGGCGCGTGTGAAGGTTACACGGTGGGGGGTGGGCGAGAGAAACCATGGGAAGTTTCTTTTTAATTTTAAAATCTCGTAGATTATTTTTCTCTTTCTGCTTTTTTAAAAGCAGAGGCTGCCTTGGCATGTGTGCAATATAATCAGCTGATCCCTTGCTTTCTCTGCCTGGCTAATGCTTTGAGTAAATTCCAGAGCATATTGTTCTTTGCATTGTATAAACGTCAAACTAGGAAAGCTGCAACTTAGCAACTTGGCACTGGCTAACTGTGCCCATAAATAGAGCCTGTGGAAGGATTGTATCCTACAGGTTGTAAGGCAACTGTGGTGAGAGAGAGAATCAAATCTAGCAGGATCTCTTAATTGTGTGTATATTTTGCTGTAATTAGTTCCTATCAAACCATATCAAGTTGAAACAATGTTTGTATTGAAATCTTTTTTTCCTCTGATATATTCAAAGCATGTTGAAGACCAGAGGAATTGTGGAAGTGTCTTTGTAAAGTAACATATGGGAAACTTTTAAGCCTAGAAAAAACAATATATAGAGAGTAGAAAAGGGATAAACTATTAATTCTCTTTTAAGATTAGAATTTGTACTCTTGGACTTGCACTCTTTCTAATTTTTCTGAAGATTACATAAACTCAACAATGTAGTTACTCGCAGCTAAGAAACTGGCTGCTTCCTTGTTTCAATGGACTTCCTGGTTTTCCTTAATTCAGCTGCTGTGGTTAGTCTTTCAGTTTAGTAAACTGAATTGGAAAAAAAATGGAAGCAATGCATTTTTTGGTAAACTTAAAGACTATATAATTTCATCAACTAAACCTAGTACATACAAGTGTATAGTG